TTTTTTTATTGATTTCAGAGAGGAAGGGAGAGGGAGAGAGAGATAGAAACATCAATGATGAGAGAGAATCATTGATAGGCTGACTCCTGCACACCCATCACAACCCAGGCATGTGCCCTGAGTGGGAATCAAACTGTGACTTTCTGATTCATAGGTGGATGTGCAACCACTGAGTCATGCAGGCTGGGCCCCATTTGCTTTTAGACTCAAGAAAAAGTTCTTAGTATGACCTATAAAAATTTGAATAATTTAGGATGTTGATATTTTCCCAGCTTCATGCCATAAGCATGCTCCTAATCTCCTTTCTCTCTGTGTCTCTCTTCAATAACATTGGTATTATTTTCTTTAAAGTACCCTGTTCCTCCTCTATGAGTCTATTATAGCTATTTTTGATGATTTTTTTTACTTTTTTCCCTTTCCTAAAATTCCTGCCCTCCTTTCAGAAGAGTAAAACCATTGAGTGCTGCTCGTTCTGTACATCTGTCCAAGAGTCAGTAACTGAAGGAAACTTATTGTGCATGCATAGAAACTCAGAGCTCTGTCTTTCCAAACTTGCAGTTTTCCCTTTATTTATCAACTAGAGGCTCAATGCATGAAATTCGTGCCCGGGTAGGGTCCCTAGGCCTGACTGGTGATCAGAGCTGATCTTTGAGGTGACAGTCAGGGCAATCAGGGGGCCTTGGTTGGCACCCACCTTGGTTGGCCTGGGGCTGCCCACTTTCTTGTCCCGCTACCCAGTGCCGCCAGTCGCATCCCTTTGGGGGGCGACCAGCAGGGCTATCTGGGAGGGTCCCCCCAGAACCCAGCTTGTCTAGCCTGGGGCCTGCAGGCTGGGGCAGCTCTTGCATTGAGTGTATTCTCCCTGGTGGTCAGTGGGCATCATAGCAACCTGTTGATCCACCGGTAGTTCCGTCTTTGGGTCTATTTGCATATTAGGATTTTATTATGTAGAATTATTTGATTAAAATCTATTTTCATATTACTCTGTGAGATCCTTAATGGCAGGGACCATGTTTGTATTTCTTGCTCTTGATTCTGAGCACCAAAGTATCTTAGCCTATAGGATCATCAAATCTCCTTCTTCCTTCTTTCTACCTAGTAACTCATTCAATATACTTCCTATATTTTAAGCCTTCTCAAAGGACTATGATAATAATGTAGAAAGAGCAAAAATAAAAAGATAGTTGAGTTTCTCAGGTAGGAGTTAATAGATCTCTGGAGGATTATGGATAGATTCTTGGAGTGTAGAAGAGGTTGGCAAACTATGGCCCACAGGTTAAACCTGCCTGCTACCTGTATTCTTTAAATAAAGTTTTATTGATAAACAGCCTTGCTCACTTATTTATGATTGACTATGGCTGCTTTGTGCTGTAACAGCAGAGGTGATTAATTTCAACAAAGACCAAATGACTTCAAAAGTTAAAGAATTTACTATTTCCCCTTTTACAGAAAAAAGTTAGCCAATCCCTAAGGATAGGACTTACATGAGAATACTTGGAGTTTTGGTCTTGATGTAAGACCTGTGAGCCCAAGATGTTTATATTTAACTCCAATTTTTGTGTACATAAGGTACCATAAAATTTAAAAAGTAGTCAGTATGAGAATTGTCTTTTAAAGACAACTGTACTTACCAGACATGTTCACTCATTCATTTATTCACTCATTCTTCAGATAGTTTTTGAACACCAGCTATGAACTAAGGGACTGTATATTTTCAGAAACTGCATACTGAGACTCATAAGATTAAGTTTCTGATCGCAAGGGCACCAACGCTAGTTTGAAAACAGGACACGGATGATTCTAATATACAGCAATGACAGTGATGATATGTGTACAAGTAAAGTGGGAAAAGAGATGGGCACTAACTCAGCCTGAAGAGCTGGGTGGGTGCTTTCACAAGAAGGTGGCATGTCAATTGATTCTTAAAGAATGAATAGAAGTTACTTAGGTAAAGTCAGAGAAGGGAAGGGAGAGTATTCTAAGCAGAGGGGCTCATCCCCTGGTTCCAGGGGACCTGCGGGGGAATATGTCAAGAAGAGAACTTAGATTGTGTGTTTTTCAACTCTCAGTATAGCCTAAGACGCCTAAAACTAGCTTAATACTTGATGTGAACAGACATTAGATGCTGGGACTAGGGAGACTTAAAGGAGCCATATTCCCCTGAACCTTAAAGAGGGCCCTGAGGAATTGCACACTGTCTCACCTCCTACACCACTGTGAAGCGTGCAGAAGGTGTTTGGTGCTTCCTTCCTAGAGCTCTACCTCTCACCCCAGCCACAGTTCCCTTCTATGTCTCCAATTTAAGCTCCACTCCAAGGTAAATATCAAATTCAAAGCAGGCTGCAGGACAGAGGAGAAACCAGGAGAGGGCGCTGCTGCCCTTGGGTGGTGGTTTGACACACCTCTTCCATTTCTGAACACACCTTTTTTACAGCCTGTGACATGAACTTGCAGGGCAGTTTGTCTTGCTTAACTCCTGAGCCAAGACTATTCCAATAAGGGACCAAGAGAGTAGAGGAACATTACTACCAACCAATACTGCTGCTGCTTCTCTGCTGCTTCTCTGTCAGCCATGCTGTCTCCTTCCTGCTTGGGACTTGTGATCTTGTTGATATTGAGTAAGTAACCTTTATTCAAGATGTTGAAGATGTCCTATTCCTTGGTTTTAGGATAACTTTTAATCCCTACCATACTGGAGACCATCCCTCTTCACTGCCAATGTAACAAAACCTTTATTTTTTTTTTAGGGGGGACCAGTGGAGCCTCAGTGAACCAGACAGAAGGCCCTGTTACCCTCGTAGAGGGGGCATTTTTGACCCTGAAATGCACTTACCAGAGTACATATTCAGTTTTTGTTTTCTGGTATGTCCAATATCAAAACAAAGAGCCTGTTCTCCTCCTGAAAAGCTCATCGGATAATCAGGAGGTGAGCAACAGAGGTTTTCGGGCCAGTCTTGTGAAGACAGACAGCTCTTTCCACCTGAGGAAACCTTCAGTGCAAATGTCAGACTCGGCTGTGTACTACTGCGCTCTGGGAGACACAGTGAGGGAGGCTGCAGGGGGAGCTGAGCACAAACCCAGAGGGACTCACATGGGGCTTAAGAGGACCAGCCTGGTTATTCTAGGAGCCACAGTGAGCTTCAGTGGCTGTTATCAGGAAACATACAGGTATTTGTCAAGGAAATGGAGACTATGTTTTCCAAATACAAACAAAAATACTTGATATGGCAAATATGTCTACTCACTGAGCCTGATTACCCAGTTAGTAAATACAGGTATGATGTCAAAATGATGTGGAAGTTTCATTGATTTCCTGTGATTTTTCTAAGCGCATGAATAATTTACGCTGAACTAAAGTACTATCAGGGAAAGCTTCTCATTATAAAATAAAAGTAAAAAGTTTCAATTCTACTTTAGTGTGAGCAGAGTTTGTTTTAGTGGGTTCAATAATTTCTAGAGTTTTCAAGGTGAGCCACCTGGTGAAACAGAACACGTATAAAAAGACTGTGGAACACCTGGCTGGTGTGGCTCAGTAGTTGAGCATCGACCCATGAACCAGCACACTGAGGTTCGATCTGGTCAAAGCACATGCCTGGGTTGCGGGTTGCATCCCCATTAGGGGGCATGCAGGCGGCAGCTGATTAATGATACTTTCTCATCATTGATGTTTCTATCTCTTTTCCCCTCTCACTTTCTCTCTGTCTGAAAACAATAAAAACACATTTTTTTAAAAAGACTGTGAGGCTATTTCCACCTCTGATCTTAAAAATATTGATTTATAAAGAACGATTACATTTAAAATTTTGATGCACCTTGCCTATGTTCGCATGAACTTATATCTACAGAGGCGAAGCACAAGTCCCAATGTTTAAGGCTACAAAGAGATTACTGGCTGTGATACCAGGGACAAATGCCAATGGATACTTTTAATAGGATTTCTATTGTTTTTTTTTATAATGCTCTTGTTACAGCATTGTACAGTCTAAGGATTTTTCCTATCCCAATTTTTACATAATTAGTATGGGTGGTTTGAGAAAGCAAGATGATTTTCAGAAATGTATGTATGGAGTTATAACAGAAATTCCTGTATTAGCCAATTAGTAGAATGTAGATTTTTCAGAATTTTTGTTTACACACACAGTAAATGTTTTATCCTTGCTGTTACTGAACATGTCACACACAGGACACATTTTGTGACTCAGGAGGCATGATGGGAAATCATTCATTAACAACAAAATATTTCTCATGTAAATATTTTGGATTCCATGCAAAGTAGAAACAAAGGCTGAGACTAAAAGTTTTGCTTTCCTGTGAGAAAGTGAAAACATCATGATTGCTTTTTGCATTGCTTCTCTTGGGAGAGAAGGAGACATAAATAAGACCGAAAGATACATAACCACATTACCCATTGTATTCACCATAGCATAATAAATTGTATTCTTGCCCTAACCGGTTTGGCTCAGTGGATAGAGCATTGGCCTGCGGACTCAGGGGTCCCAGGTTCGATTCCGGTCAAGGGCATGTACCTTGGCTGTGGGCACATCCCCGGTGGGGGGTGTGCAGGAGGCAGCTGATCGATTTTTACATTGCTTCTCTGGGGAGAGAAGGAGACATAAATAAGACCGAAAGATACATAACCACATTACCCATTGTATTCACCATAGCATAATAAATTGTGTTCTATAAAAGTCCCACATTTTCCATCAAAGGGCAATGAACTGAACAGGATTCCATTTCCCACTGTTTATTTCTAGTCCTATAACTTATAACTAGATAAACTAGGTCTAGTCCAGGAGGCTAGCATTTCCCACCCATCAGGAAGTGTGTGACACAACATATAACAAACTTGTGCTATATCTGCCATTTCTATTTCCTGGAGGGGGGCAGAGCATCACACAGCCCAGGAGCTCTGCCTGTACCTCTTGAGCACAGGGTTCAGAATTAAGATCTGGATTTGAGATAGAACATAGGACATTTTACTCAAGAGAAGACCTACCAATATGCTGATTGCCAGTGTGCTGAAGGCAGTCATAGCCTCCGTCTGTCTTGGTAAGGATGGCACAAACACAGTGCTCAAGCTCCTCTCAGTCCCAAAGGTTGTGGGAGAAGCAAATCATTGTTGTCTGAAGAAGTTTAAAAGGAGGATAATGGGCAATGGAACCAGAGTGCTGGGTCCAAAGCCACTTCATCCCTTTTACCCTCATGGTTACAGTCTATTTCTTTTCTCTTTCTTGCAGGATCCAGCATGACCCAGAAAGTAATTCAAGCCCAGTCTGCAATTTCTGTGGTGGAGAAGGAGGCTGTGGCCTTGAACTGTGCATATGAAGTTAGCAGTTACAATTATTATTTATTCTGGTACAAACGACCACCAAGTGGGAAAATGACTTTTCTTATTCACCAGGAGTCTTATAAAGAGCAAAATACCACAGAGGGTCGATATTCTCTGAACTTCCAGAAAATCAGCCAGTTCCATCAGCCTCACCATCACAGACTCACAGCTCGGGGACTCAGCGGTGTATTTCTGTGCTTTGAGAGATGCCACAGTGATGTGGGTGCCTGTGGGGGCCCCGCAAAATCATCAACATGAGATAGAAGCCCTGGGGAGGGACTCCATCACAGACAGGATGAAGCAGGGGCTGTGTCAACACAGGTGGGGGGCTGGCAAGGAAACTTTAGTTCAATCCATACAGAATGTGTAGATATATCATCCATTAAAAGCAAAGGGATCTCTCATTCTTTAGAACACATTAAGATAGAATATATAGCACATTAAATATTATTTTTTTAAAGGGCAACAAGAAAATGTAATCTTTTGTTGGTTTTATTGAGATGGGAAAATGATCTAGTTATCTTTAGACCAAATAGTTGACTCCACTGATGTGTTGTTAAAACTTCAGAATCATTCATACATTTATGAATTAACTATCATGTCAAGTGCTTTGATCTGCTTGTAATAAAAATGCCTCTCATTGATTTTTCTTAAAAAATAGTATCATTACTCAATGAGGTAGAATAAATTATTTAATTTAGATTTCTTTCTATAATTCTACAAACGACCTTTTGCGCAACAGAATAGATTTGAAATGTTCCTCAAATGACCGTTCTTTGGCTCCTCTCTTTTTGTGACATTATCGTGATTTTTTATAAAGCATCAGAATGTGTTGCTCTCATGTAGAAGCTCCCCACAGAGAGAGATGTTTAAAGTGGGAATTTGTCCTAACCTGTCCAGTCTTTTGCATTCCCTTCCCCGACCCCACCCGGCCCCCAGCAGCCAGGGTCAGAATGACAGCTGCATGGCAACCAGGGCCTGTCTGGTATTGCCCAGTGCCTACTTCTTGTCCAAATATATGTATTTTGCAGATGTTACAATAGGTGCTAAGGAGCAAGGATTTTCATTTTCAATGCCACACTTATGTCTAGAAACCTCTGAGTTACTTGTCAACATTAAGAAATCACACATCACCCTGGCTGGTGTGGCTCAGCGATTAGAGCCTCAGCCTGTAGACCAAAGGGTCACGGGTTCGGTTCCTGTTCAAGGGCATGTACCTGGGATGCAGGTTTCATCCCTGGCCCTGGTCAGCATGTGCGGGAGGCAACCAATCTCTCTCTTCCTTCCTTCCACTGTCTCCACAAAAAAAAAAAAAAAATCAATGGGAAAAAAAATCCTCGTGAAGATTAATAATTAAATAAATAAATGAATATCAGACATCACATTAAAACCTGAATTTCTAGATTCTCTTTAAAAAATCTAGGAGCATGAGATTCTCTGAGGTAGAGGTCAAAAGTTCTGTTGAATACAAATCGACTTTAATGTAGTCTTATTTCATTTTAAAAATCTGTGCATTTACCATTCACAATATGAATTAACCTTAAAGTAAAAATTTAAATTATTGGTTGTAATATATAAGCTAATCCACAAGACAAACAAATCTGAATTAACATGTCATTTAACTAGGGCTACTTTCTCCCCGATATTTCATCTATCAGAACACCTGTTCCACTTTGATAAGCTCAAGTCTATCCATTAGTTCATAAGGCATTTAGTTCTATGGTAAGTATTAGGGAAACATTAGTTAGCAAGACAGTCGTGGTTTCTGCCTTTATTGGAGATGCCATTTTCCAGTGGTATCCAGTATGGAATAGAGGCAGAAAGAACTGCAAACTGGAGTTTTAGAGCTTGTTACACAAATACTCTATGTGACCTTAAGCAAGCGGTTAACGTCTCTGAATCTGTTTCCTCATCTGTAACGTGTAGAGGTCTAATTAGGAAGTTGTTGTTGAATAGCCCATTCCAAAATTTGACTAGCCTCACAGGATCACCTAGTCCACTGTTATTTTTGAGTTCCTGACACATGCTACCAATCCCCCTTTATTTAGGAAAGGACGACTAGGTGCTTTAGAACTAGCCACGGTGCTCCACACATTGCATGATAATGTCCTGATAATACCAACACCACCCACCATACTGTTCTAGACCTCAAGGATGCCTTTTTTACTATCCCCCCTACATGCTGGCTCACAAAACCTCTTCGCCTTCACTTGGACCGACCCTGACAGGGGACGCTCCCAGCAACTTACCTGGACCGTTCCACCCCAGGGATTTAGAGACAGTCCTCATCTTTTTGGACAGGCCCTAGCTCAGGACTTACAAGAATGAGACCTAGGCGGTTCCACCCTCCTCCAGTACGTTAACGATCTCCTTCTCAGCAGCCCCTTCCAGGAGGATTCAAAACTTCACACCAACCTCTTACTCAATTTTCTTGCTAACGGGGGATATCGGGTGTCTCCCTAAAAAGCACATCTAACCACCTCTCAAGTCATCTACTTGGGACTTGCCCTGACCCCATTTTCAAAGGGCATTCTCCCATCCCGTGTCATCCTCATCTCCAAAATTACCACCCCGGCTACCAAACAAGAACTCCTCTCCTTCTTAGGTCTTACTGGATACTTTCGTCAGTGGATCCCCAACTATTCTGTTTTAGCAAAACCCCTATACCAAGTGGCCAAAGGAGACCCTCATGAACCCCTAAATCCATCCACCCCTATATCCTCCCCCTTCAAAACTCTCCAAGAGGCCCTTCTCCAGGCCCCGGCCCTCCCCCTCCCCGACATGTCTTAACCTTCCTGTTTATATTCTACTGAAAGACAGGGAACGGCAGTGGGACTCTTGGGGCAGCACAAGGGGCCCACCCTCCAGGCAGTTGCGTATCTCTCCAAGCAGCTAGACAACACTGTTGTAGGATGGCCTTCGTGCCTAAAACATCTCGCAGCAGCAGCTATTTTAACTCTAGAGAGCCTGAAAATTACCCTCTATAGTCCGGTCACAGTATACTCTTCACATATAGACATGTGATCTCAAAGACATCTACAGAACATTATGTCTCCCTCTCATATTCAACAACTACACACTCTTTTTTCTCCAAACACCTCACGTAACCATAGCTTCCACTTCCTCGCTTAACCCAGCCACCCTACTCCCCAAATCATCAGGGGCAGGTGACCCACAGACACATGACTACATGGAGGTCCTGGACCTCTCCCGTTCCCCTTTCCCACACATAACGACAGTCTTCTCTCTGCAGAGGCACAAACACGGTTCATTGATGGGAGTGCCTACGTCTCAGACAATATCTCCTATGCAGGTTACTCCACTGTGTGCATGAACCCTCAAAGTATTGTTGAGGCCAACACCCTCCCCAAGGGTACCACCTCACCTCTACACTGCATCTTGCTAAATAACCCCTTATCCACTCTTCTTGCTGGACTGAAACGGTACAGACATCCCCTCATAAAGCCCAGCTGTCCCAAACAACAGTCACTTACCTCAGTTTCACTCACCCTCACAAAGCCATGCCATTCCTTAGACCAGT